CCCCCCCCCCACTTCATCCCTTCACCTTTTCTTTTCTCCGCGAACGAACGTGATCGCACGACGTGGTTAGAAAGAGGAAAAAAAAAAGTGTAAGGGACGTAAGCACAGGGATGCGGCGTATACCGTTTACGTAAGATGAATACAATAAAGTATAGTAATATAATGCGGCGTGTGGTGACGACGGTGAGGATGCCGGGGTCGCGCTTCCACTTTACGTCTTTTCTCGCGGCGATGACGCCATCTCGGCCGCGCTTCAGTACGGGTTGTACTTGGTGCGCTCCGATTTGAATTTTCCACTGTCGGTGGGGCCCGGTGCCCCCGGACTGCGCAGTCTCGGGGTGAAAGGCTTATGCGATCTGTGTACTCCGGTCGTTTGTACCGGCATGGCGGTCGCCGCTGCACCCGCGGCTCCACCTAGCAATTCCGTGAGCCCGCCGAGGGCGGTCAGGCTAGATAAGGCGTTGAGAGCACCTGGCTTGCTTAGCAACTGAGCCAGGGGGATGGCGCTGGCCAAAGGAGAGGCAGTGGTAGTGGTGGTAGAAGGGGAAGCACTGGCCCCGGATGCCCCGGGAGTGGTACCGCTGCCAGGGGTTTGGGTATTTTGGGCCTCTAGGTTAGCTTTCTGCAGTTCGACACTGGGAAAAGACACAAATGTAAAGGTAAAGGGAAAACGTTCTTGATAACCGGTGAGAAAACCGGGCGGGCCTTAGGGACAACGGTTTAAGGTATTTCTTTTTTTTTTTCTTTTTTTTTTTTTTTGCTGTTTCAGAAAAGCACACGGCAACGACCTGGAGATTTCGTAAGATCTTACAGCTGGATATCATCGATCGGCATCGTCCGAACGTTCTCATCGGAGCGACCACGTGGCTCGCGTCTTGTCTTATGGAATGAAGATATTCACAAGATCTCCAGGTCCTTGCCGGTTGAAAGGCGAAAACTAAAGTAAATAAGCATGATGTGCACTCTGCCCAATGTACGAAAAACGCGTGGTTACGGAGACTTCTTCCTTCGTTCACTGACTTGGCTCCATTGTCATGGACTTTTTTTAGGCGCCACGTGTCCTCCTCGCTACGCGCATTCATCTGTCGCAATGCATTATGTACAATTAGGCGTCGCGTTCGAAAATTATATTATATACAAAACCATTAAATGCCGGGCGATTTGACAGGCGGACAGAGTGCAGGCCATGCGACGGGAGTGCTGGGACACGATATGTAATAAATATGATGATAAAAGTTATGATAATAGAAATATATCGGGATGGCATTGATCGCAGTTATGCAGTAATATGTGAGTGACAATCTGGAATAAAATATAATGGATTATAAATATAATGTGGAGGTGGAGTTGGTCCGCACGTAGAATGAGTTCTGTGAGCCGAGAGATATACCGAAAATCATTTCACAAGGAAAATTTGGGCGCCAAACACTCAATAGCAATTTTAACCAAAGGCTGTCTCTTTTACTATGTTTATATCGTTTGTTAAACTATTTATTTTAAAAAAAAAAAAAAAAAGTATAAGCGAGTGTCCACGATACGCGCTATGTACAGCGTGATTGAGGGAAGAGAAAAAAAAGAAAGAAAAATAAATTAAAAAATTAAATGAGCGGTTACTTCAAAGTATTCTCAAAGGTATACACGTTAGGCAACCACCGTGATTAACATGATTCTACCAAAAAGCACACGTTTTATTCGCTATTACCGGTTATTGACGAATTGTCCAAGCGATGAGAACAGCGAGGAAGAAATAAAAAATAAAATAAACAAGAAGCATCGACGAGAGACCTCCGTGGAAATTCTTACGACTGCCGCCGCCAGGACTCGAACCTGATCCGTGTAAAAAAAAAAAAAAAAAGATAAAAAATTTTTTTTTTATAAAATCACTTCCCGAAGGAGGCCTCTTGCCAGGGATTTCACGGATCGGCCCAATCGAACGAATCGGGGAAGGAATTAATGATTCGCTCATCGCGATATCGGCAGAGGACCCGAGAGGATTCTACCAGCCAGAAGGACTGTCCCGGCTCGGATGACGTGTTGTTGCTTTCTTTTGTTTTACTTTATCTTTTGTTTCTTTAGTATACTCGAAGAAAAAGGACAGCCAGCGGCAATAGGAAACAGATGTTGGCAGAGTTGAATCTGCAGGATACTCAAGGTACTGGACCTGGAGGTACAGGACCTGGAAACAAAGGATTAAGAACGGCTCCTCTTCCGACGTAGTCTTCCTTTACGTTTGCTCTTGCCTCGCGCGACGCTCCTTCCTCCATTTAACATTGAACCGCCACGACGAGAACTTGGTCTTCATCCTGTCCTTAACCTTAAACTACCACCTCTCACCTTTCTGTCCCACAGTGATTATCACACGCGTCGCCGCCGAGCTCTCGCGAGTTTATCGTTCAGTCAAATCCACGAAAATTCTCGTCGAGTCTCGGCGACGACGACCGAGCACAGATTCTCGGGAGAAAGAATCTCGGTACTCGGTATCCCAAGAAAAACAAAAATAAAAAATAAGAATAACAACAAAAAAAATAATAATATCAACGTCAAACGTAAAGTCATCCCCTCGCGCAGTTTTGTTATCGCGCGAGAGGATACTCCTCCCTTGGCTTCGATGACATAAATAATGAAGAAAAACAAAAAAGAGAGAAAAATGATAAGAATTCAGGACAATTCTGGAAACTTCTGGATCTTAATTTTTAACGATCGCTTATGAAGAGGCGAATTCTTATCATCGATCAGAAGGAGACTCACCTCATGTTGATGAGATACTGCGCTAGTGCCACGGCGTCGTGATTGCCGGTGATCGTGATCGTGCGATCGGTGGCGCCACCTTCTCTCTCCTCGCAGTTACTGATGCGTATCATGGCGCCGGATATCTGACGTATCTCGGCGATCTTGGTGCCGCCCTTGCCGATGATACAGCCAATCAGCTCGTTTGGCACTGTCATCTCGTGAGTCTGATTGTTCGCCGCCGGTTGCTGTCTGTTCGTATTGCTCGTGCGCAATTGGCTTCCTGCGAGGGCTGCCAGAGCTGTGTCGATCACAGAGAAGACAGCTTAGCGAGAGCTTGATTCATTATTACAAGCACCACTCGAAGCTTTTCAAGATACGCGTGACAGCACGCGACAGCAGGTCGATACGACAGCGCGATGCCAATGGAACGTAAATAAATGGATGTGTCAAAATATAATAACGGCGACGTTAAAAAGGAAGGAAAAAAAAAAACAAGTATGGACTTTTTCAAAGTGACGAAATAAGGTTTTTTAACCGTCACGCGTGCTGTGTCGAACTTGTAAGTTACGAGTGGTACTCCCGAGGATGTTGGTAAAGGTCAGGATCAAACGACGTACACTTACCGGCCGGGTTCAACCCTCCGGTGTTTGCTGGGGTTGCTAGTCCTCCGAGTCCAAGTGCGGCCAGTCCTGCCAACGGGTTATTACCCAGCTTACCCATCTGAAACAACCATTGAGAATCCACCCAGTCAACACACTGTCAAATATCCCTGCCAATTTTTCTCTACCGTCGGTCCCGCTTTAGCACTCGATTTCTCACTATTTATTCGACGACCCTTTCTCGTCTCGATAAGGGCGACAAAAAAGCACGTGACCTCCTCGACAGATTCACTCGTATCTATGCGTCATTAGGTCAGATCATTTTTTTACTATCTTTTTTTGTTCACGTCAATCCACAAAAGCTTCGATCATTGAATACGACGACGCTATCGGTAACGACCGCGCGCACTGATAAGGCGTATCAATTTTGTGATTAATAGGACTTAAGTTGGATGCACGTTTTTTTTTCTCTGTACAAACTTTGTAATTGCGTGTGCGAGGAATTAGAAAAAAAATTTTCGACCTTTTGTTTAAGCTTTCAACTATTTTTCTATTTTTGGGTAAAAACGATTGTGAGCGACAAGGACTACATGAGATTCGTGACAGTGACGTCAGTTGAATGATGACTTTATATTTGAGTATATTGTGTCGATGATTTGAACAGTTCAATAGCAATGTACAATAACAATAATCTGGCATTTCATATGGAACAGCGGAAACCTAGATGGAGGTTCTCAGGATGATCATTCAGATCGGTTGGATCAATGGCCTGGGGTCAATTCTCTATAGCCAATCCCCGTACAGGAAGACCAAAGTATAGAAACAATGCTATCCTGACGCTTCACCCTGGTCTTACTTGGTACAGAGTGAAACGGGGGAGAAACTTCCGGTTTACAGAGGTACCGAGAGCTAATGACGATGAAAAATCCGAAAAAAAACGAGGGATCGAAAGTCAAAAGCAAAAATAAAAAAAAATCAATATTGAAACTGAATATTGACGAAAAATTGACAATGAATATACGAGGATAGCGAATAAATTCGCATGCACCTACAGAAGCGTGCCCGTCTCGAGCAGTGAGAAAATCCGAAAATTTGCAAGAAAAAAAAATCCAAAAACTATAAAAATTTTAAGAAATACTTCTAAAAAAATCGAGTGGACCACTATCGGTCATCCAATAAAATCCTCTACGTGCTTTCTCTCCCCATTGTACAAATGAGATTGTTCTAAGAATGAACGTAAAGGAATGAAATCAAAATAGGGAGACAGACAAGACAAAAACATACGTATTTCCATCCTAATCCGGATATGGCAAATCTAATAAAAACCGGAAAATCGACGGTCAACGTAAATACGATTTCCGGTCTTGATTACCTATGTACTAGTATAAAATACCTAATGTATATGAAAACATATGATACGAGAGAGTCTCTCTCGTGGACCCACGTGTCAATATAGACACGTGTATTTCATAGGTTTAAAAAAATGGTAATGGCAGCCCACCCTGCCACGCGCAAACTCCTCGATAACACCGCGTACACACGCTAATTGTACAGGTCAATACAAAAGCCATGCGTTTTCTCATTTAATTATTTCATGAGTGTCCGTGAGTGTGTAGTGTTCCGGGTCGGGCGTCAAATTTGAAAATACAACGGTGACAGTGATAGAACAAAAAATGGTCAAAAATTTTCAAAAAAAAAATAAAAAATCACGAAAGAGCATATACGAACGAATGAATCTCAAAAGAAGAAAATATAGAAAAAAAAACAAAGTCACGTAAAATACATTAAGTGTGAAAACGTGAGCAAAGTAATTGGAGAGGCTGAAGGACCATAATGAGAAGATAAGCTTATTACGTTGAAAGCTTCGGGGCTTTTCGCAAGTGACCTATATGTAGTATACGTATAGCAAAGGTTATACGAGTTTGCAATCACAATGACTACTGATAACACTTAGCGAAATTAATAAGCTCTTATCTCTCGGATATAATAAAGCGAAAAAGTGGGGCAGTAATAAATTTTTTAAACGCCGTTAACGGTACTTCAAATTTTTGAGATTAACAGCTGAAAACGCTGGAGAGCAGGGGGGGGAGGTGGGAGATGGGTGAGTAAGTATCCTATTAAAACAGTATGTGCGATTATGACAGGACAGGCGGAAGAGGATACGAGACAATGATAAAGGGTACCGGAAGTGAACTATAGACTATGAGAGCTGAATCGAAAATTTTTTTTTTTTAATTTGAAAATTAGAAACAAGAGTATTAGAGCAATACGTGTGAAAAATCGAAAGGTTTAAAGAATTACGTTTGTATACAGAGAATAATAGTCGTATGTAGAGAGAGCCCAATTAATTAACGTATTTCTACCCTATGTGTGCTACGCATGCGGTCTTCTATGCATTGTTTCAAGATATGTCCCTGTGATTGTTGAACTGGATTACAGCAAAGAAATTAAGGGGAGAAAGAAAGAGAAAGAAAGTGTAAAAAAAGCAAAGTGTAAAAAAAAGCGGTGGAAAAATGATATTTATCAAGAGATATCAGGTATTAGTATTTTTAGTTTCAAAAATATCGTCCAACCAATTCCCCCCTGAATACGCCGTAAAAGAAACGCGGGACGGTGTTATAGTTTCAAAGTGCGGATGAAAATTCTCTTTATGGTTTGCGGCCCATAGAGAATGAGATAGTTGAGTATGTAGATTGTTTGTTTGTTTGTTTGCGCGCGCGCGCGCGCGCGCGTGTGTGTGTGTGTGTGTGTGTGTGTGTGTGTGTGTGTGTGTGTGTGTGTGTGTGTGTGTGTGTGTGTGTGTGTGTGTGTGTGTGTGTGTGTGTGTGTGTGTGTGTGTGTGTGTGTGTGTGTGTGTGTGTGTGTGTGTGTGTGTGTGTGTGTGTGTGTGAGAGA